GGGTTGAGAATTGTCTTACTTTGAGGGATTTTCTGAATGTTGAAATTGTACTAAGAAGTTGTGTGGGAAACCAGGGCTTGAGTTGTTTTTTGAGAGGGACATCATTCCTTTCCTGGGCAAAGGGAACTACTCCTCTCACCTCTGGGAAGGCCTCAGCTGGAGTATCGTGTCCAGTTTAGGACACTAATATATAAAACTTAAGTAGAGAAACTGGAAAGGATCCAAAGGTGAGCGACAAAGATGATCAAAAAGAAAAGGAGTACGTGTGGCACCTTAGAGACTAACCAATTTATTTGAGCATGAGCTTTCGTGAGCTACAGCTCACTTCATCAGATGTTTACCGTGGAAACTGCAGCAGACTTTATATACACACAGAGAATATGAAACAATACCTCCTCCCACCCCACTGTCCTGCTGGTAATAGCTTATCTAAAGTGATCAACAGGTGGGCCATTTCCAGCACAAATCCAGGTTTTCTCACCCTCCACCCCCCCACACAAATTCACTCTCCTGCTGGTGCTAGCCCATCCAAAGTGACAACTCTTTACATAATCAAGTCGGGCTATTTCCTGCATAGATCCAGGTTTTCTCACATCCCCCCCACCCCCATACACACACAAACTCACTCTCCTGCTGGTAATAGCTCATCTAAACTGACCACTCTCCAAGTTTAAATATTACCAGCAGGACAGTGGGGTGGGAGGAGGTATTGTTTCATATTCTCTGTGTGTATATAAAGTCTGCTGCAGTTTCCACGGTAAACATCTGATGAAGTGAGCTGTAGCTCACGAAAGCTCATGCTCAAATAAATTGGTTAGTCTCTAAGGTGCCACACGTACTCCTTTTCTTTTTGCGAATACAGACTAACACGGCTGTTCCTCTGAAAGATGATCAAAGGGATGGAATGGAAGCTATACAAGCAAAGGCTGAAGGGACTGATTATGTTTAGTTTAGAAAAGAGGTGATTAAGAGGGGACATGATAGTGGTCTTCAGATACTTGAAAGGCTGCCACAAAAAAGATGGAGAAAAGTTGTTCTCTTTTGCTACAGAGGGCAGGACAAGAGGTTATGAGTTCAAACTACAGCATAGCAGATTTAGATCTCAGGAAAAACTTTCTAACTGTAAGAAGAGTAAGACAATAGAAAAGACTGCCTTGGTAGCTCCTTTGTTGGAGGTTTTCAAAAGGTGGCTGGATCTTTTGCTTACCCTCTAATATTTCATTTCTCTTTGTTTGAAGATATTGGTTGATTCCAGGTCTGTGGTATTGAAATAAAGTACAGTCACTATTGTTTTGGTTTCATAAACAGACACAATAGCTGTCACAATATATTATTAAGAGGTTGCACAGGAAAAATCTGAAGTGTGAAGAGTAAACTCTTTCACACACACATACTTGCAGCAAAACTCATTGTTGAGAGGAAGTACACTCTCAAGGGTGTCTTTTGCTTTTCTATTAACAAAGAGAGTGCAGTATTTTTGCAGCACATGTGCAACTGCAACAGTGGCACTGAACTTCAGTTGCAGAAATGCATTTTGTCATCCAGCAAAGTCACAAAGTGGCACAAAAGAATGAAACATTTTTAGAATATAAAAGTGCCCATCATAAGTTTATTATGCTAACAGTTAATATATTCTTGAAAACTGCTAGATAAAGGTTACAATTTGAGCAGCATGATGTAGAGCTCAGTGAGAAATGGGGCTCCCGGCGGAGTTCTCATTCTATTGGTGTTAATACCCAGAGACATTCAGTAGTGTTTCATTGTGAAGCCTTCCATTATCTTAACTGGCTGCCAGAGCTTCAACTTGTGTGCATGTGTTATTATTTTGCTCCTGAATCAGCCATCACATCATTGCAAGGACATTTATTTTGTGACACTTGAGTAGGGTGACCAGGCAGCAAATGTGAAAAATTGGGATGGGGGTGGGGGATTATAGGAGCCTATATAAGAAAAAGACCCAAAAATTGGATCTGTCCCTATAAAATCAGGACATCTGGTCACCCTACACTTGAGAAGCAAGCTGCATGTAGGCACTTTAAAGAGCTGTGCATCAAGAACTGTAGGTTGAGCATCACTGAGCTACCGTATATAACTGGGGCATAAAGGCATGAATCACAGCTCACAAAGAAGGAAAGTGGAAGAGAGTGGTGGATGAATTCTCTGTGATTTCCCTCTCTGGAAAGGTTCACAGTTTGAGTCAGTGACTCCATGAAAATGGCTAGACGATACAAGAGAGACTATTCTCAGATACTGACCTGAAGGTACTTTGGTGGCAGAGATTCACTTGGAGAACATTTTAGGTGTAGAAAGAATTTAGAGTGAAAACACTTAAAAATAAGCATCATTAGTAGAGAGCAAACACTGATCAATAATTGTATTCTAGCAATTGTATGAAAAGAAGAATGGTGTCTAGGCTAAAGCACATGATTGGGAACCTGGAATTCCCAGCTTTGTCACAGACTTTGTATGGTAACTTTGAGCAAGTCACTTGGCCTGCCCGTGCTTCTCTTTCCCCAGCTGAGACACTGGGGATACTAATAATAACTTACCATTAACTCAGAGGGATGTTGTAAACCATAATTAATTGAAGTGTTCTGAGAGCTTGGCTGGAGAAAGTATAGAAATGCATAAAAGCATTGTTCTTCTTTTATTACATTATTATGTGCATTATTCCCAAAGCATTCCAGTAGTTTTCTTTGTTTCATAAAGACATGGATGAGCTTCCAGAATTTCTGTAGGCCAAAAGGTCAAATGAAAGGCTAAAATTACAAAACCAGAAGTGGAGGGACAGTGCCAAGTGAAAGGTCCAAAGTCAAGTGAATGGCTAATTGCCAGGTGAAGCCAACTATGCAGATCTATGAGCTATGCCCATGTGTGATATTGTGTCCCCCATCCAAACCTACGGAATAGCTTCACAAAGGTTATGATATGGGCAAGAATATACTCATATCAACAGATCTTCCATCCCCAACCCCCAGTCCTTCACACTGGCATATAAGGATTTCCTATAGAGAGAGGCAATACTCCCCTACACACTCCCCAACCCTTTTCGTTCGGAGTTGGAGGATAGTATAGGAGTTTTCCCCTTACTGAACACACAATCCAGCTCTTCGTGGAGGGTGAAGGGGTGTGGGAAGGAATGGTTAGTGAAATCTAAAAACATGCCAGCTTAGCTCATTTACACAATGATAATATTACCTCAGATATGACACTATGAGGTAAAGTTATCATTGGTGACATTTTGGAATTTTATGGGTAAAATCGTGGCCCATGTAAATTCAATGACAAAATTTCCATTAACTTCAAAGCAGTCAGGATTTCACTTTATTGTCACATAAAAATAATGTGTCTTCATTTACATACATAGAGGGTGGGATGGAGTGGAAGAAGAATAGTAAACTTATCCAGCTCATGATCCTGATCGTGTGTTTCATGAGATGTACTGAGTGCTCTCATGTCCCTTGGGTTTAGTTCTTTGAGCACAACTAACTTGCCTTGTTGGCTTAATTTATATACTTTCTGCACCTACACTGCAGAACAAGGCCCAGGGTTTTTAGGGCTATGAACTGGAACAGTGTGTGCTTAACAAAGAGATAGAAAATATGACACTAATTTCCTGCTATAGCTGTTCCAGGCTTTAGAGTGTCTAATGGGGAAAAATGACTTGTGCTTTTATAATCTGTGTAAGTTTATCCAGGTTTTAGAATTCTTGTCTTGTGTCCAAAAGTACTGTAATAGATATATTGCATCAAGCCAATGCCTACTTGTCTGGATTTGCCAAATCCTCCTCTCTATTCTTTGAGAACAAAAGGAATACTTTATTTCCTTTTCAAATACATGTTAGAATTCCTCAGAGTGGCAGCACATTGAAATGTCTTGCAGTATTGCTTGGAAAGGGAAAGCTCTACCTTAGCTTCAGACAAGGAGTAACAATATGGGATCAAATTGTGGCTCGTAGATATTATTTAAAAGAATAAAATCTAAAAAATTCTGGAATACTCAATATATATCTTCAGCAGATGGCAGGGATGTGGTACAGAATAATATGCAAAAAAACCCCAAACAAACAAACAAAAACTAGATTAAGAATATTTTTTAATTGTATTTTACTTCATTGAATTCAAGGGTAAATTCCCCCTGGTAAGCAGGTGAATAGAAGCATCTTTAGATTATTAAAGCTAAATGCCAGTGTAGATCTAGCACTAAGAAATAACACTTTTTAAACAACAAAAGAACCTTGGAAACATATAATCATCTCATGGGCATTTTAAAAAAGAAAACAAAAAAGCTTTTAAAACTGTAATATTGGATGAGGGAATTCCTGGAACATAGATAAGAGCACATTAGAAGAAAAGGAAAAAGATTAGATTGATTTTTGAAAAAGAAAAACTAATGCATATGGGAATGGAGAGAAGAAATGTCAGTATAACGCATAGAAGATACTTTATATACTTTAGTATGATATATTATAAAGCACAGACAATATTCTTTGCCCTCTGAAGGCTGAACCCCCCCCCCAAAAAAATGGAATATCTAACTAGCTGTTAAACTTAGGTGTAACGTTCATGTTTCAAAAGAAGGAACATGCATGTTATTCCTAAAGGGTTTGTGCCGTTAAAAGTCAATCTTTAAAAACCACACAGTGCTACCGGATGCCCTGAAGCTAAAGTCAAATCTTGAGACATCCTGAGCACCTACAACTCCCACTGCTGAAAGTGCTCAGTACCTCTCAAAAATTCATCTTTAGTGCCTAATCCTTGAAGCCAATGCCAAAACTTCAGCTGACTTCAGAGGGAGTAAGATCAGGTCCTATTTTCTATTCTCTATATAGAGAACTACTGTAATACCTCATATTTCATGTATATTAAATGTTTTTGTTTTTAATGGCACTTCTGCAGGGTTACAGTTAGCTAACTGTCTTCAGTTTCTGTTAATTATTGTCGAATAAAACAGTTAATTTCTTGGTTGACTATAATATTGCTTTGTTTTTACCATTGTAGAGATCCAAACCAGCCTGTTCCACAGGACACAAAGTTCATCCATACAAAACCCAACCGTTTTGAAGAAGTGGCCTGGTCTAAGTATAACCCTAAAGACCAGCTCTATCTGCACATTGGTCTGAAACCCCGAGTTCGGGATCACTATCGAGCAACAAAAGTCGCCTTCTGGTTGGAACTTGTACCACACTTGCACAACTTAAATGAAATATTTCAGTATGTTTCCACAACAACTAAGGTGCCGCCTCCTGATATGACCTCATTTCCTTATGTCACAAGACGTTCTCCTGGAAAGTTGTGGCCAGCGACCAAACGCCCAGCAATGACACCAGCCAACAATCCTAAACATTCAAAGGACACCCACAAAACAGCCCCAGAGGATACAACTGTCCTGATAGAAAACAAACGAGATTACTCCACAGAACTGAGTGTCACCATTGCAGTTGGGGCATCCTTGTTATTCCTCAACATTTTAGCTTTTGCTGCATTGTATTACAAGAAAGACAAGCGACGTCACGAGACACACAGGCGCCCCAGCCCTCAGAGGAACACAACCAATGATATAGCGCACATACAAAATGAAGAGATTATGTCATTGCAGATGAAACAGCTAGAGCATGACCACGAGTGTGAATCGCTGCAGGCACATGATACCCTGAGACTAACCTGCCCACCTGACTACACTCTTACTTTGAGGAGGTCCCCAGATGACATTCCACTAATGACACCCAACACCATAACCATGATTCCAAATACATTAACAGGAATGCAACCTTTGCATACTTTCAACACCTTCAGTGGAGGACAAAACAGTACTAATTTACCCCATGGACATTCCACTACTAGGGTATAGCTCTGCCATTTCCCCCTCTTACCCCACAAGCCACTTGGAAGAAAAAGAAGAAGTAGATAAAAGAGCATTCACCATTGAACAACTTGTTAAAAACAATGACAAAAAGTAAACGTGAAGGGCAGTCGTTATTTTCTTACTGATCCTGCCCATAGAAACTCTCTGATATTAAAGATCAGCTTCAAACCCTGTGAAATGTGAAACATGTACATTGCTGTTATGATACTGCTTTAAGATCTCAGCCGCTTTGATTGAAAGTTGATGCCAGAAGAAATCACTTGAAAGGATGTTTTGAGAGTAACAAACAAGCAGAATCTTCTGGAACACAGAGCCAGTGACTGTACAGTTTTTTTAATATATGAAATTAAAAAAAAACACCAGTTCTTTATGTGCCATACCATGAAGGGCCCTTGTTAAAACAAAAGACATCACCGTGGGCTTTTATCCAGCATAAGAAGCTGTAACCAGAAGGGGGAAATAGGATTTTATTATTAAAAAAAAGAGGACTATGCAGTAAAATACGTATAGTTCTGTGCAAAGAGATGACTTGCCGGCCTGAACTATATTTAAAGAAACTTTGTAAAAAGTGTACATAGCTGTGAGTTTAAAAAAAAAAAAGCTTTTATTGACGTTTTCAGTTTGAAAAGAACTTTTAGAAATTGTGCTTTCAGTTGTGACCTATGTGTATATACATTAGTCATATCACCTCTGTTTCCTCCAGACCAAAAGGAGGATTTTCTTCTTAATTACTAGTGGTGAAAAAAGACATGAGGTTTTTCTAACATGTTTCATTTATAGGAGGACATGGTGTCATACACAGAATACAGTTGTCTGTGTGACCTGCGTATTTTCCCTTAAGGGTTGCAAAAGTGCATGTTAAAGCATTCTTAGGAGACAGTTGTTTTTTAGATTTTTTTTCTTTTCCTTTCCTTTTATTTTTGTGTTAGCCTTCATTAAATTGCAACACAGAGATGGATTAGAAAATGGAAATCATGATTATTGTTTTAAGCTTGTTCAATTGAGCAAAGAAACAACAATACAATGAGTCCAGTTTCGTAGTTCTTGGTTATTTTAATACATTAGGAGGACTTGCTTCACAATCTAGTGCCCTGACAAACGCGAAGAAAACCTGCCTCTTGGTCAGTTGTTTATGAGGAAAACTAGCTCAATATTCACCAGCAGCTGCAGAAGAGTTTTTGCTGAGGAAGCACCCACTCAGCTTTGCCAAACAGAGTCAAAATGAAATTGGACAGAGGAAAGGGGGTGGGGGTGGTTTGTTTGGGTTTTTAGAAGTGGAACGGTCATGACTGATCTGTATGAAAAGAGCTTTTTCACCCAGTATCCCGTTATTATGATCAAGAGTGCACCTGTCTGAAAACTCTAATTTTGCTAGTTAATTATATAGCAGTGACACAACCAATCAATATTACTGAGAGCTAAAAAGAGAGGTAGCTAAATGTGCTCTGTGTGAATTTATATGAAAATTCTGGACAGCTTCATTGTCAGTAAAAGGTTAAATTATTATTTTCCCCTGCTCGCCCTTAACTGGGGAAATAAGGGCAAAACAGCGCCATCGCACAAGGGGCTCAGCAGTTTCATTTAAACAGCTGATTCAAGTGTGAAAAGCTAGACATGAGTTATTAACAGATGAAGGTTGTTTATATTTTGTCTTTAGAAAGTGACTGCATCATCAAGAGATAGTAACCAAAGATATTTGAACAAAGTTGCTCTGCACTTGAACATGATTATCCCAGATGTATTTTGCATTTTTATTTCAGTGCCAAATTGGGCACGGCACCGTCATATTGTCTGTCCCATACAGAACCTAACACAAGATGCCTTCTACTTTGGAATAGCCAGCCCATGAAATGATATTGTAGACAATGATAACAAAATCTGTGGGCACTGCACAACTCCTTGCTGTGTGTGCATGGCAGAGAAGTGGGTTCTGAGAGAAATGAAAAGAGATTTAATACAGTGAAAATGCACCATATGACCAATCATGTTTTATACATAAGACAGATATGTTATACAGATTAGAAAGTGTTGAAGCAACAGTCCCAACCTGCATCTAGTAGCAAATGGAAAAATTTCTTCTTCACTGATCCATCCCATAATGTTTATTAAAGCTGACTCTTTACCAGGCCATTTCTACAACTTATGTATTGCCTCAGCTGAGATGCAGTAGTTCATGACCCTAAAAAAAGGCAGTGATGCTTGGCATCATAACCAGTTGGATATATTTGTAATGTGAATTACAGTATTTGTTGAGTACTTCCAATTGTCTTCTGCTAGCAATATGTACAGTAATGTGTCAGGCTTGTGACATTTGGGTAAAAAAGTTCCTGTTAGTGAATGGTTTTAGCTTTTAAAAATAATTATGATCAAGTCAATTTAATAATTTAATACATCTGAATTGAGGTACGATTTATAAATGGAAAAGATTTATAGGATCTTCATAGAATTCTATAATAATGATAACAAAATATACTTGGCAAAGAAAAGAAAACAAGAACTTTCCCAGGCTTATAGTCTTGACCTTAAGAGGCACGCAGGGTTTAATGGTTTCTTTTGTTATTGTTTTGCAATTTTTTGTTTTTGCCTTAAGTAATGATAGAAGATATATATGGCTGGACACATATGTATAAACTTTTCAGCAGCATTTTTAATAATAAAATATCACAGTATTTTCTAACGTTTTGTGCAAAGAATTATGTGTTCATCCCTTTTTTTTTTGTAGAAAAATATTTTTTTTAATCCCCTTTTAATGATCCAGTGTAAGTGATGCCTTGATATACAGTATAACAGTATTCAATTAGCAGAGGTTGCATTTTCAAGATATTGAGTTGGCATGGCTATTAAAGCTCTATAAGCCTATTGCTCAGGTGAGTGAACACCTGCTTTGACGCTCAGATGGCGAAGATATTCTCGAAGAGAAAGCACCATGTATTTATCTCTGTGCTCTCTGGATTCCATTGAACTCTGTTTTGTGTGTGTTTAACATACTCACAGATCAAAGTATTCTAAGGGAATGCATAGCTGAACTGCCTCCCAGGTAAATTTAAAGTTTAATGTGAAAAAATTGTCTCCCAGATTAGCATTTAAGATAAAACTATCTGTATTCATTATTACTGCCTCCGTGTCTACATTGCAATCAGATTGCAGTATGTGTAGACATACCTGAGCTAGCTTTGATCTAGCTAGTTCAAATAACAATAAAAATGAAGCCATGGCACCACGTTCTATACAGGCCTACCCAGTTCCCTACCTAGGTACCTATGTACTCAAGCATCTAGCCCATACTGCCACAACTTCACTGCTCAATAATTATTCAGCAAATATATCTGTATGAGAAATAACATCAGGAAAGTCACAGCTTGTTCAGAGACAATTCAGAAAGAGAAAGAGAGGCTGAAATTGCTAAAATATTATTTATTGTGAATTGTTCACCCAAAATTTCTAGTAATCTAGTAATCATTCAGTAAATTATCTTATTTCTAGCTAAACAGTTCTCTGCTAAAAAGATGGGATGAATGACCTTCTGAAGCTAACCAAATATCAACTCTTTTTAGTGTTAAGAAATATAACAAATGAGACTGGTATGTTCCTATTTACACTTTGCTAGACTATCCATGGTATTTAATACCATAGACACAACACATAAAATAGTACTATGGCAGCTATATGTTTGTTTCAGTTCTGTAGTTTTGCAAATGTATTATTTAATTTATGAAGAATAATTTCTCATGTTTTTACCTGGGGCTATTTGACTCAGTAAGCCTCTTAAATGTGAGTATCTCCAAAGGCCATAAGTAGAGCTGGTCAAAAATTGGAAATTTCTGTCCCACTGGAAATTCTGGTATTTCAACACCTGTTTTCATCACAAATCAGGCAGAAAAGTTCATATCAAAGTTTTGTGCAGAATGGAAAGTCCCAAAAAATTCAAATGGAAATATCTAAACATTTTGTTTTGGTTTGTTGAACTGAGCTCAAACAGTTTGTTTTGGTTCAGTTTGATGTTGAAATCCACCTGCCAGGGCTGCTACAGTGGGAACTGCATTTCAGGTGCCTCATGTTCTCTCAAGTGATCCATGACTGAAGTTATCTATTTAAAACTAGGGGCCTGATCAAAAGCTGTGGTAAACTAATGCAAATCCATATAAGTCAAAGTGATGTTTATTTTAACAATCTGGTCAAAGATTAGTTAAGAATATATAGAGAGAACATTAAAACCTACAAAGGCATATGCATAACCCGTCTTGTCTGAAACTCCACAAAGTTAATCTACATCAGGTCATTTTAGCCCAGATTTTCAACTGTCAACGGGATTTTGGCTTTTAAGTATCTAAATCCCTTTTGAAAATGAAATTTAAGTTCCTAAATCAATTAGACATTGCGACACTGATACATCAACATCTAAATATTTCTAAAAAGCTGGGCCTTTAGTTTTAGTTACACTGAATTAAAAAGAAAATCACTTTCTTTCTTTCCTCTAATCCTTTGGCAGGTCATCCTGAGTGACATGTAGTCTTTGGCTTTTGATATCTTCTGTCATTCTTTTTTGTACCTGACTCACAGCCTTGTTATTCATTGATTCATTTGAGGCTTCTTTTATGTGATTGGCTTGTCATATTGGACACTGCTCTCTCAAGATGTGTTCTGAAGGATCTTTCCTGCCACATCCATTGTGTTTGTCCCCAAATCCATTCTGGATTGTACGGATTTGGATAAAAAGTTTCTGCTTCAGTTTTTCTTGTTCCACTTTTACTGTTAAAAAATAAATGTTCCTATGAAGGTGTATTCACACAAGAATAAAAGGAGGACTTGTGGCACCTTAGAGACTAACCAATTTATTTGAGCATGAGCTTTCGTGAGCTACAGCTCACTTCATCGGATGCATATCCAATGAAGTGAGCTGTAGCTCACGAAAGCTCATGCTCAAATAAATTGGTTAGTCTCTAAGGTGCCACAAGTCCTCCTTTTCTTTTCACACAAGAATGTTTCTCATCCCAGAAAAGTACCCTATTCTAAGGGCTGCCTTCTCTTTTTGCTGGTCTAACAGCCATGCTTTGGCATGTTAATTGTTTTAGCTGAAGGTACCAAGCTAAAGCCAATTTATTCTGCTTTTACAGATGCACTGTTCTTATATTTCATATTATTTATTCTTAACGTGTTTTCTTCTCTGCAATATATTGCAATCATGAATAGATTAAGTTAGGCTGCCACATCATTGCACTGCAAGTTTCCTCAAAGCAAAAAAGGAACTTGTTATTCTTTTCTAGTTAGATGTGGCTAGTAATACTACATCATGCTAAACAAAAAGTGTTTTTTAAAGTACCCTGCACAAGGACTAAATTGACATAAAGAGGGCAGTTGTGAAGCCTTCTGCCTTGTGTAATAGACGCTGTTGGATTCAGTGGATACTGACTGACTGCTTGTATAACCCTTCTGTTAGTCTGACCCATGTCATATGACTGAGGACAGGCAATAAAGAGTCATCTCTTACCAGCCCTCCTCTATATATGTAAGGTCCTCTTGTATAACACTATTTCATGGACTGCCTGGAAACAGTGAAATTAGCCCAATACTTTGATTTCCCCCCCCCAGTAGTGGCTAGCCAGAAGTGGGCATCCCCAATGAGGCTATGACTTCTTGTGGGGGTAAGTGAGCTGGTCACATCCAGGAGAGGACAGGGAGTGGCAGGATGGAACTATCCTGAGGAGCATGGGGAGGTAGTATCCAACCACAAGGCACTGGCTCTGGGATTGGGACCCAGCTCACTCCACACTCAGCTTCGGCCCAGGCCACCACTGCTGCTTCCTGTTGGCCACCAGGGAGAAGGGGGCAGGACTGACAAGGTGACAATAAGAAGCCCTGGCCCACCCCACTCCACCGTAGCTCCTAGCAGGCCTTGCGGAGATACCACCAGAGCTGAGACCAGAATCCATAACCAACCACATCCAGTGAGCTGAGCCCCAATCCTTGTCCAAGGCCGGGCTAGCCAGAACCATGTGATGAGACATCCTACAGCCTGTGGGATAGGACTGGCCCGCTACCTCTCTGCCCCTCTCAAGATTGGTATTGGCCCAGTACCCTTTATGAGCAGCCATGGCCTCAGTTGAGATGCCAGCTTCTGCCTACCTGCTGTTGGAGAAATTACAGCAGTTCCAGCAGCCTTGCACAGCCCATGAAATTTGAACTTTTACTTATGATACTGGTGTGACATATAAAAAAAAATCCTTGATTTTCTGAGGGCCTTGTCTATATCACACCTTTATTGCATGGTGTCAGAAACGAACCAGGCAAAAAGCTTGTGTGAATTAAAGGACTGTTCTTTTGCAAGATGTTCACACAGTGGTATATGCTTCCAGAACACTGTCAAAACTATGAAGAGAACTAATCAAACTTAAAACAAAATGCTAGCAAGTGTTTTTGGTTGAGGTTTGTTTCATCCTTGGAAATCCCATTACAGAATGGTTGTGCAAAGCACTTCCTTTCAGAAAAAATATCATGATATTGCAAAAATGCATGTGAAATACAGGTAAGGATTTTCCTAAAGAGGCTGTGCTTTCAAAAGTGCCTATAAACAGTGCAAGAAAGGAACTGAAGAAAAAGGAGTTCAAAGTAAATATGACCGTTCTACAACTCATTTCTGAAACAAAATTTGACAAGCTCGATGTAGAAATAAGTTTGACCCAGCCTTCAAATAGCTTGAGAGTAATTCTAGATGGATGGCCAATAGAAAAAAGGCCAGGTATGTTTAAGGTTTACATTTTATTGTGGCTACTGAAATGGAATTACTCCATATAAAGAGGCCGTAATGGGATTCTTCACAAAGGACATTATGTCAGAATACCAGATCGCATGAGGTCAGAAATATTGAGCATAATCCACAGTGCCCATGTGGGCACTGATAATTGTAAGATTAGAGCTTGAGATGTCCTACTGTAGCCAAGCAATAACGCAGCCACAGAGGATAATATGGCTAAGTGTAAAATATGCAAAAACTCTGGCAAAAGAACTACTGCAGGCACATGAGATTCTTGTTCACTCATTCTACAAAGGTGAAACAGCAGGATTTGAATTAAAAGGGAAAGGTTATTTCTTGTGTTGGTGAACTACTCTTTTTAAAAACTGAACTATCCCACAACACATCAAGTAGCAATCTAATTCTACACTGCAAACCACACTTTGCTTGCCAACAGATTCTAGGTGGGTTACTAACAGATAATGACCCACGATTCACAAGTGGCTCATTTTAGCAAATCTCTTTGATATATCTTTTCACACACATCATGTCAAGCCAGAGCTCTGTACAGTCAAAAAGTCAAGGGGCCAAAAATCAGTAGTTTGGGTCACAAAGGCAGTGGAAACCATCCAGAAGTCCCCTCTGAGGGAATTCCCTGGCACAGGAATGCATAAAGGTGGCATAACCTACTTCTACACTTTCCTCCACAACCGTAGTGTGTATTAGGGGTACAGCGGGAGAGTGGGTGGGCTGTGTTATGGTCTGGCAGTTTACCAGCTGGCCTATGGGCCATAGGGAGCTATTGTCAGCTGGACTGGTGCAAGTTAGAGAAGCCGCCAGGCTGGTGCTGGAGCAGACAGTCAGGGAGCAGTAACTGGTTGTTGAGTTTGAGCTTCTCTTTTCCTCTCTCCTGGGTTGTTTGAGAGGGAGGGGATCTGTCCATTTCC